TAGGAGGCACACTCCTTCTGCCTGCTGACGTCAGCACCACGTGCGACAAAGGGCAAGAGGGCTCGCTCATTGATTTCGCCATGGCCAAGAACGGAACATCCTCCAGGTACCGAGTTCGTTCGCAGCCTCAGGTTCCGTGGAAGACGCATTGTGCCTTACAAGCTCGCCAGACCCAAGCTCGCCTCGGACCCCAGCAGCAAGAGATCTCTACTTCGAGCCCAACGGCAAGAGCAAGAACGGGCCCGCGTACCACCCGATCTGTTGGAAGATTACGATGCACTACATCTATCAGAGGGTACTTTGGATCTTGAGTCCCAGGTCTCTTTTCACATACCTTCAGACCTGTGGGAAGAGCAGCCCTCCAAGGAGAGGCTCAGCTCTCAATGTTGCAGCGTGGTCAATTCTGAGTTGTTGGGCCAGATCAACGTGCTCGGCCTTGGTGCCGTCACCAGGCAGTACGCGCGGTGGTCCTCTGGAGTGGAACGTGCCTTCGCACTTCATCATCAGCTCGACCCTCGACTGCGAGTTCCACGCGCAGCTGGATTTTCTTTACGGTGGATGCAGACCAAAGCTACTCCAGGGCGAGTGCACATGACTGATGGAGCTGGAGAATGGTGGGGAACAGTTCTCACCTTGGTTCAAAGAATCATGGCTCTCCTACGCCATGGCAAGGATCCTCGCCAGCTAGCGATTTGCACCTCAGCCCTTGGTCGCTGCACCAACGACGCCAACAGCTTCGACCCATCCGACTTCTTTGGTCCAGGTTCAGAGGGCGCCGCTAATCAGCAGCGGTGGATTTCTTGGTCTCGCGCCTTCGCGAGCGCCACCGAGATGGAGCGCGACGATTTCGCTTGCTTTACTGAGAAGCTGGCCTGTCGTTCTCAGGCAAGATGCTTGACCTTGAGGCGGCATTCCTTCATCCGATGGGCCAAGGAAGTTTGGACATCTAAGCCGGGCCTGCTCCACTCACTGGTGAAGGAACCCAAGGCGGTCTCTGCTGACCCCTTAGTGGATGGGCGCGTCGTTGGAGACCCAACTGTCAGAATGGAACACACCAGATCCACCTGGGAGAGACTCTGGCACGACCCAGTCGACTCCCAGTCCGACATCCTCGCCATGTTCAAGCGCCTGCACACGCAGAGCCGCGAGGAGGAGCTAGATCCTGTCAGTGTCGAACAGGTGGACAATGTTCTCAAGGTTCTCGGCACCAAGGCCTGCGGAGTTGACTCCATCACACCTCTGGACATCCAACGGCTTCCACTTGAAGGTCGGTGTGATTACTGCAGGCTTCTCAACAGCATTGAAGAACATGGAGTTTGGCCTGCTCAGATCCTGGCATCTATTGGAGCATTATTACCTAAACCCAAAGGAGGAGAAAGGGTCATTGGACTACTTCCAGAGACGGCGAAGGTTTGGTCCCGCGTGGGAGCAGGCGTTACGTCTACATGGACTAAGGAGCTCTCTGACTTCTGGGACACCGCAGTGGCGGGCAGCAGCTCGCTTCGAGCGGGTCTCTTGCGAGCGTTGCTCGATGAATCCGCAGTGGCTCTTGGCATCTCGGCGGCGACCCTGCTTTTGGACTTCGAGAAGTTCTACGACTCGTTATCCTGGGCCCTCATTGGCCAAGCTGCACTCGATCTCAAGTTCCCAGCGATTGTGGTGCTACTGGAGCTGGAGATGTGCGCTGGGCCGCGTTTCTTGCGGGGCTCCCTTGGCGTCGCGGACGCCATCTTCGCCACCAGATCTCTCGTTGCAGGCTCCCCGCGTGGGGCAAGGATTGCCAAGTTGTTTTTTACATCCATTGATGGGGGCGGCACATCGCAGAGCGAGCTTCAGCACCTTCTGGACCTTCATTGACGACACGGTTGCCCGCTCAGAAGGCACGCAAACCAAGGTCCAAACCGAGATCCTCCACGCTACGGTCACTCTTGCCGACCTCGCCACTCAATTCCGTCTTAAGCTTTCGGACAAGTCAGTCCTCATTGCCACCGTTCCGCAGGACGGGAGGAGGACGGCCGCTCATTTGCAGAAGCGAGGCATCCCTGTGCGGTTCGGCCTGCACGGCACGGACCTTGGCATCGATGCGGCATCTGGCAAACGGCGCACAGTCATTAAGGCCAGAATGAGGTTGACCGCCAGCAAGAGGAGGGCAGCTCGTATTGCCCGTCTACGCAGACATGCCCCTCTGCGACGTGAAGCTCAAGGTCTCTGGACCACAGGCGCAGCTCCTCAAGGTTCCTACGGGCACCAGGCCCATGGCATGTCGCCGTCCAACGTCCTCGCCGTCAGGCGGCAGGCAGCCGCGGCTGGAGCTGGGCCCATGAAGGGCAGGTGTCTTACGACTACACTGGCGGTTCTTTACGGTCTCAAGGACCCTGCCCTGGAGTTGCGTCGAGGCCTTCTTTCAGAATTTCTCTGTCTCTGGAAGACCGACACCAGCATTCACCATCGAGTTGAAAACGCTTGGACAGTCATTCATCGGCGGCTTCTCGCAGCTGGCGCCAGCAGAAGATGGAGGTTGGTCAAAGGACCCATTGGAGCTGTTATTGCGACCCTGCTTGACGCGGGATGGGAAGTACCCTCGGTCCTCCGTTGGAGGAGACCCACTGTCGGAGGAATCGAGGAGTGGCTGATTCCAACCGCACGTCGTTCAGGCTACGACCCCACTGGGTTCGACATTTCCGAGCTGCTGGACGACGTGGTCACTGATTTTCGCGCTCAACTTTGGCGCAATGCTTCGACTCATGTTGCAGGGGACGGCTTGGCTGAAGGAGCTGACCTTTATTGGGCCAGGCTGGAGCTCAGTCACTACGCCAAGAGGGGGGAGCTCGACCAGTTCGGCCTCAATTTGTGCGTGGTCACGGGCGCCCAGTGGACGATGGACAGGCAGCACCCACTGAGCGAGCCCTCAGACCGCCTGTGCCCGCGATGCCAGCAGGAGGAAGAAACTCTTGCGCACCGCATTTGGCGTTGCCCCTGCAATAAAGACCACAGTGGTTTCACGTCCACCGATCATTTGATTCCTCAAGCGTTAGCGTCTGTTGAATCTGAACCAAGCCTTTGGCTGCGAGGTGTTCCGCCTACCCGTGTCACCCACCCTGTTTTGAGGGAGCCGTCGGAGAGCCTGAGTAGAGCCCAATTGGTGAGGTCCCGCTTGGGGCTTGCTCTAGAGACCCTGGCAGTAGCCCGTTGATCGGCTTCGGGGACGGCTCTGGAGGACGCTTTTCGTCCGACCCTCGTCGCCGTCGGTGTGGCTCCGCTGTCGTTGTGGTCAGGGACGCGCGACCTGGGGAAGGACCTTTGCGTTGGGCCGTCTTGGGGGGCATCTCCGAGATTTTGCGAGGCCCTTCGCAAACTGTGCCCAGGTCGGAGCTGCAGGCTTTCGCTCTCTTCTTGGAAGGCACCTCAGGTCCCGTCCATTTTGTGACCGACCACAAGCCTCTCATGACGGGGTGGAGTCGGGGTCGACCTTGGAGTTTGGGGGGGAGGAACAGCGATTTGTGGCTGCGAATTCGTTGCGCCATCGATGACCGAGGCCCAGGGCACGTTTCGGTCGAATGGACGCCCTCGCACCTCTCTCCTGACGATCCCTCCCTCTCCCATCACGAAGTTTTTCTTGCCAGCGGTAACCAGTTAGCTGATGAAGCGGCATCTGATGCCGCCGAGCGTTCCTGGACCCTGGCCGCCCAGACTGTTCCTGCCACAGACGCGTGGGACCTCACCGCTGCCCTGGTGCGTCGACGAGCACGGCGGGCTCTGGCGGAAGCTTCTTCGGCGGATCCCAAGCGGTCCAAGGCCTCGACGGATGTCGAGCGGCCAATCCCGAAGACCGCCGAGACCCGCCGCCTCGAGCACGCAGCGAGGGCCAGCGCTCATAGGTTTATTCCTGTTGGGTCCCGTTTCAGGTGCCAACGGTGCTCTGCTCTTTCGTCCCGACAGGGCCTCTTAGAGGCCCTGAAGACGGAGTGCTTTTCGCCGCAGGTCGTCCCTCCTGGTTTTCCTCGGGACGTTGTGGCCGCGGCTCGTGGCGGCGTTTCCGTCGGTGGGCTGGAGCTCGACCCATCCCACCGTCTGGGATTCTGGGACTTGCATTCTTTGCATTTTTGTTTTAGATGCGGTCGGACCGCGACCGTTGACGGTCGCCAATTGGCCGACGAGTGCGAGCCCCCCACTCGCAAATGCCGCGAGAATCTCGGCCGAATTAAACGCGGGCTCTTTCCGAGCTATGCGGGGCCTTCGAAGGCTTCGCGAGCGATTTCGCATGCGAGGTTAGTGGACGCATGCGTCGCCAGGGAGACAGCACAGCGTGCCAGGAGGGCAAGCCCTGTACCCTCCCACGCTCCTTCTTCCCCTTGCGGGGAGGAGGAGGCGCTGGGGGTGGCTGCTACGGAGTAGCCACCTCGGGTGCAGGTGCTTGGCCTCCTCCCTCTGTTTTCCCCTCCTCCTTTTTAGCACGCTGTGCTGCGCAAAAGGTCCAAAAGGTCCTCCCCCTCCTCCTGCTTCTCCTCTTCACCCTCCTCCTCCTCCTCCTCCTTCTCCTCCTCCTCTTGCTCCTCCTCCTCCTCCTCCTGCTCCACCTCCTCCTCCTCCTCCTCCTCCTCCTCCTCCTCATGCTCCTCCACTTCCTCCTCCTCGTCCTCCTCCTCTTCTCCTCCTCCTCCTCCCCCTCCTCCTCCTCCTCCTCCTCCTCCCCCTCCTCCTCCTCCTCCGCCTCCTCCTCCTCCTTCACAACCCTACCAGCCACCCTTCCCGCGCCCGGGCGCGTATCTGGAGGCATCCTCGAGATCCATACAGGCCCCATGAAATTTCCAGAGAGGTCTGAAAGCGAGACAAACAGCTTCCAAAAAGATCGATCCCCGAGGCTCGCTCCTCAAGCCCCACCCACTCCTCTCATTATCTCTCCCATACCTCCAGGCAGAAGGTACGGGTTTAGAGGGGGCGGTGGGAGACTCGAAGGCTGAGGCGGCGTGTGTGACATCCGTTTGGTATCCCTGGAGTTCCGACGTTCTGGCTCGCGACCTCGTACCACGTGCCTGAGTTCGTTGGCAGGGGGGCCACGCCATGGGCTGGGGCTCCACTCCCCTGCTCCTCCTCTGCCCCTTCCACAGCTCTCCTCTCCCGTCCTCTCCTCTCTCGCCTGCTCTCATATGCCGCGCCCGCTCATCTCTGCTATCCTCCTCTGCCCTCCTCTCGTCGCCAGTGCCATCCTCTCCCCTCCCGCGCTGTCCGTTACCCTCCTCTTCCCTCTCCTCCTCGCCCCGCCCCTTCTCTCCCATCATCTCCCCTCCCCTCTCGTGCCCCCCTCCCCTCCGCTCCTCTCTCCGCTGCTCTCTCCGCGGCGCTCTCCTCGCCTCCCCGCCCCTCCCTCTCCCGCGCAGACAGCAGACAGAGCCGCCGCAGGGAGGGGGGGGAGGGAGCACCGTGGCCCCCTCCGGGCTGGCCCCTCTTTGGCGGGGGGGGGCCACGGCCGCTCTCCTCGGGCCCCTCCTGGGGCGCCTCCGCGTCGGGCTGCGCTTCTGCGGGGGGGCGACCCCCCTGGCGGACTCGCCCAGCTGCCCCTGGACCACGCCCCCCCCCCCCCCCCCCGGCCCCATGGGGCGGCCCATGCCTCATCTGCTCCCATCATACTTCAGGACCACATCCCAGAAAAATAATTTCGAGCACCCCGGACAGTGTCGAAACGGTGTCGAACGAGCATCGCCTCCAAAGGGCCCGACATGCGAAAGCCCTCCGGTTTCGGTGCTTTCGTGGTGCTGGAACTTCTCTCGGGCGGTCAAGGCTAAAGCAGGTAAGAACCTCATAACGCATGCCACGACCGTGGGGCTGGCCTGGGTACCTCTCCATGTCCAGGTTCTCCACCACCTCTCGAAGAGCAGCAGCATCCTATCCGGACGCGGACCTTCGGAGGTCCGCGCGGGTGTCTCGGATCGGCGCCGACCCGCCTGCCTGCGACGAGTCCGGCGCCGCCCCCCGCGCCAGGGGAGGGGGCTCCGGCGCCGACGCGCGACCTCCGCGCGGACCTCCAAGAATCTGCTGCGCATGCTGCTCCTCTTCGGGCCTTGACCCCGGCGGGGCAGCTGGTCGTGGCCCGATCGTCCACCCGCGCTCCCACACGATCATCAGCTACTCGCAGGAGCGGCCCAGGGCAACACGGTCGAGGCGTTGACCCAAGGAACCCTAAATAAGGAAAGAGGCCCCCTTTTTCCATCAGTGAAACTTCGACTTCCCATCGAAAATGTAAGGATACTCGTAGGCAAGGTGTGGAACAACTGAGGAACACCGAGCCCCTCCCCAACGAAAAGGGTTCCTTTTTCAGCGCCCCGACTGCAGTGACCTCTGGCACGCGGCTTACCTATCGCTGCATGCGACGCGGCAGAAGCGGCTCGGCACGGCAGGGTCGCGTCGCGCCGCCTTGGCGATGGCCTTCCCCACACCGCGGGGATCGCTCGACCTGGAACGATCGGCTGTTTGAAAAAACGTCGGATCGTTCCACATCGACCGATTCCCCAGACCCTCGACGTCATGACTTTCTCGTGACGTCGACCCGCAGAAGCCTCGACCCACTCCCCAGGACCGGTGTTGCATCCTGAGTCGTTTTTGTTGACGACCCCGAGGCCCGGCGAGGGCCCCCAGGGACCGAAAATTGCGAAATACCTCCGCCTTGATTGTCTCCAACTCCTCCTCCTCCTCCTCCTCCTCCTCCTCCTCCTCCTCCACCTCCTCCTCCTCCTCTCCTCCTCCTCCTCCTCCTCCCCCTCCTCTCCTCCTCCTCCTCCTCCTCCTCCTCCTCCTCCTCCTCCTCCTCCTCCTCCTCCTCCTCCTCCTCCTCCTCCTCCTCCTCCTCCTCCTCCTCCTCCCTCCTCCTCCTCCTCCTCCTCCTCCTCCTCCTCCTCCTCCTCCTCCTCCTCCTCCTCCTCCTCCTCCTCCCTCCTCCTCCTCCTCCTCCTCCCTCCCCCTCCCCAACGACAAGGGTTACTTCTTCAGCACCCCGACTGTACGTCGGGTCACCAGCCTTCGGTGGCAACACACGGGAGCCTTCCACACCATCTTGCCAGCTCTTGCGAGTCGACGCGAATCAACGCTAAATCGACGCTAAACCGACGCTAAATCGACGCAAATCGACGCTATCCGACGCTAAATCGGCGCCAGCTCATTGACTCCAGACGCTAATCGACGCTAATCGACGAAGACGGAATTGAAAGGGCACACCAGGCTCCCATGATTTGCCACCGAACCAGCGGGTGTGCGGGACGAAGTGGGCGTCCCCGGCACGCTCGCGGCGAGGCGCAGCTGCTGGCACGAATCCCGAGGCTGGAAAACCTCCCAGAGCCGACGCAAACGACCAGAGCCGCGCCCCCAAAACGTGCCGCCCAAAGGCCGCGCACAAAGAGGTCACTCCGGTGGAGGGCCGCTCTTGCGCGCAGCCGAGAGCAGACGAGCCGATGCACTCCCTGGCCCCGAATCGAGAGTTGGGTGGGATCTCCAAGAAGCGAAAGGTACCATGCCGCTACCCTTCGCCCGTGTCCCCCTTCTCAGCATCCTGGGAGGGCATCGTCGCCACCGCTGAGATTCGCCTCGAAATCCTGGTCCGAACGCACCCCGTCAGAGGTCTGGGGAACAGCGGCATCGGTACCTTGCGGCTTCCCCAGGATCGGGCTGCGCCGCACGGAGTCGCGATCGAGCCGGAGCGGCTGTGCCGCAGAGTCGGCGAGGGAAGAAAGCCTGCGGCAGGTCAGCTCTGCAATTGGTCGATCCCCGTACTCAAATCGGCGACTCCAAAGGGGGTGGTTTGCAAAGGGTGTGTCGGGGATGGACAGACCTCCCTTTAGCAAAACGTGGTGTAGTGAAAACGACCTGAGGCCCAAACCTGAGGAAAATAACGGCCACGGCGCCCTCTCGAAAACCGAAAACGGACAATTCACTAATCGACGTGTCACTGTTGGGGGTTCTGCCCACCCCCGAGTGTGGCTTGCAACCGGCACCCCGGGAAACCTCCTGGGGGGCACCCCGGGGGGCGCGCGGAGACCTCCCCGGGGCTGGGGCTCCCCCGCGCCCCGGGGAGGCCCGACGAGGACGGCGTCGTCACAGACAACAGGATCTCCCCCAGATCTCTCCATCTCTTCGGAGCTTTCGTCTCCCCCCCCCACTTCCCACACTTTCCCATCTTTTCCTGGGAGGCGACGATTCCTTGCGTCTGTGCGTTTTTCCCCTCCCGAAAGTCTCAGGGGGGCGCCCGCGCGGCAGGTACGGTGCGCACACGAGCCGCCCGCGGAGGCGCGCACGGCAGGCCAGCCTCTCGGAGGCCCTTGGAGGCGCCGCCCTCCCCCTCTCTCTCCGGGCCGTCGCTCGGGCGCCCCCCTTCCCCGGGCACGCTTGTTTCGATGTCGTGCGCGCATATTTTCGTCGCCAGCGTCGGCGGCGCGCGAGGGGGGGGCCCTGAGATCCTGGCGCTGGAATGGCTTCACCACAGGAGTCTTAGCTCAACTTCGGGCCCCAGGACCCTCACGGATCGATCCGGCTCGGAAAACTGACGCAGAAAGATGCGGTCCGGGGCTTTGGGCGTGAGTTGTTGCGATGTTGCAATTGTTTTGCAACGTCGGATCTCAGGGGAAGTGAGAAGGGGCGGGCCTTCTCTGAAGGTTCGGAAGTCCTCCCGCCTTCTGAGAAGTGTTCTACGCATGCCCAGGGGACACGACAGAAACCTCTCTTTCAGAATGCGCGAGGGCTTCTGTGAGGTCCCGCCGCCTTCTGAGAAGGCCTTCTCCTTCTCACGTTCTCCCCCTTGCTCGCCGCCGACCTTTGTCGCAAGATGACCCGGGATGCTCCCCGGAGGCTCGAGTAGGGGATCGACTACAGAATTGGCGTACTCCGAACTTAATTTTTCGTCAAAGCCGCCACAAAGTGCCACGTGTTCTTTTGTAGACTCGGCGATGCAATCAAACTTGGGGCAAATCAGTGCCGCAGTCGATCCCCTACTCGAAGGGCCCACGCCGAGACAAAACAAATTAAAGAAACACGCCCCAGCGATGCCAACCCCTGGGCCGCCCCGTGGGGCGCGCAGCGGCCGCGGGGGGAGGAAACCAAAAGGCGCCGCTATGCCGCTGCTCCCCAGACCCCTCCCGGGGGTGCGCTCTGACCAGCACTCCAGGGCGAGCCCAGCGGTGGCGACGAGGGCCCCCGAGGGGGCCCAGACGAGGGGCAAAACGAGTCAGGGGTAGCGGTAGGGGCACCTCTTCCTCCTCCGACGCGCGGCGTGCCGCGGCCGCGGGGGGAGGATCGGGCCACGCGGCGACCGGTCTCCGAGGAGAAGAGCCAGCCGCCGCCCGCGGCGGCGAGCGGCGGCGAGGCCGCGAGCGCCGCGAGCCTCGCGAGCCTCGCGCCGCGCGGCGCCATGGCCGGTGCCCGCGCGCTCCGAGGCACTTCTCGAGCAGGGGATCGACGCCAGAGGTGGCTCTGTTCTCCAGGCTTGCTCTCCTCGTCGACTCTGCACGGAGCACTGGGGGGCGGCCAAGAGGGGGGCGTCCAAGAGGGGGGGGGTGGTTCAAGTCATGGCCGGCGGCACGCGCGCGGCCCCAGGGGGGTTCGGGGACGCAATGAAATAAGAAGAGGCGCCATGAAATCTGGGGAGATATCATGGCCCACGCCATGATATCCACCCCCCCTAGTCATCACCCCCCTGATTGCCGCCCCCCTGACGGGAAAAATTGGGAGACCAACAGGTACTGGTGCCGCTACTCCCCGGACCTCTCCCCAGGTGCGTTCTGACCAGGATTTCGATACGAATCCAGCGGTGGCGACGAGGGCCTCCTAGGAGGCCCCGAGAGGGGAAAACGAGGCGAGGGTACCGGTATTGGTAACTTCTCCGCCTCTGATTTTTTCACGGGCTCGACGGAAAAAAAACAAGTTTGGGGTAAACCAATTCTGTAGTCGATCCCCTACTGGGAGCACTGGATCTTGACAGAGCTGCACCCGGCTGAGCCCGCGGCGGCGCAGCCGCGGC